TATATATATTATAAAATCATACTTTATGATTTAATGATAGCACCAAATTTTGAATGATATTGCAATATTTTCTAATATGTTTTGAGAATAAAAAAAACATACACCTTTTTTCTGCTGTCACTACCTGAACATTAAATGCCAATCACGCATCATTTTGTGTATTAAATTTGTAGTTACTCCTTTAAGTCCATGCACTCCATTAAAATCCAAGTTAATATCAAGCAAAGGTTATTTTTAAATTTATTTGGCCTGTGCACTTTTTCAAATACCTTTTGCATGCCACTTAATTCTAATCTTTTTTTTTTTATTTCCCGTCTTCCCACCTTCCTGTCTTTTCTTGAAATGTCCCTCTTCTGGTAGCTGGTTTGAATTTCAGGTACCTGTTTTTCTCTTTCTCAGACACCACACGTGGTTCTGCTGTTAAAAGGTTTTCTATCACATTTGCTCGACACCCAACCAATGGTATGTTTTGCTTTTATTTAAAAAAAATATTCCCTTGCTTCATCCCCTTCAAAAATGGGATGGATATTATTATCCCACTATCTTTCTACATTCCATCTTAAGCACATAGACATTTGTCCAATTATTAGGTATGGCAATTGATTAATCCCTTTTCATATATTAATTTTATTTTTTAAATTCACACATCAAATCTTTTGGGGAAATAATATGAAAAAATAATTCAAATCTAATTATACATATTCATCCAAATGACTGACACAATGAATATATCTTAATACATGTTTTTTTTTTAAAAAAAAATCTGACCTTAAAGCTCCTTGGACTCTCTTCATAATATTCTTTGCCTTCTTGCTGCATTAGATATTTTCATGAACCTTTGTACCACAGCATAAAAAAAATGTCTTGCTAAATCAGGTCAAAGTGCATTTTCTTAAGCATTTTGTTTCCAATAGCAACCATCAAATGGTGTTGGGAATTGCAGAAGGCAAAAAAGAAAAGGTATTTCTACTTCTTTTTGTCTCAAGCATCCCAAACTACACTGCCTTTAAACTTGGGCTACTGTTTATTTAATTTCATTAATAGCTATTGATAAGAGCAGTCTGTTAATTTAAATTGTCATTTAAAATGAAATCTATCAATAATCTTCCTTCAAACTGCATTGCATTAAAATAAAAGTTAAAGTGGTACACTATACTAACAATAACAAAGTTGTTTCCCTTATTTCAGTCTTTTTCCCATTATGATGGAACAGGTTTTATTTAATCAATATATATTAATCAATATATAGCTGCATTCCCTTGAAGACTGAACGAATTAAAAACTGGTTTTGTTGTTAAAATTAGATGTGGAAACATATCCTTTTTCTGTTCCCATATGAAACAATTTGCACAAACTTTGCCAGGGTCAATCCTTTTATTACAGAAACTGAACTAACTGCCCCATAATAATAATATTGCCCTCAATCCTTAATTCAAAGCTTTCCAGTACTATTAAGTAAGAAACATCAAAAAGTAAAAAGAAATGTGGGCTCTTACTGAAGTTACAGAACTATAGTTAACTCCTTGATACATTTGATTACTAGAAACAATCTAAAAAATGCAAGTATTTATGATCCAGTTGTGGCCGGAATTCTGGTCACAGGTCGTTGTGGTCATAAGTCGAATCACCATGTGACTGTACTTGATTTTATGACTGTTTTTACAATGATTGATAAGTGAGTCACTGTGGCTGTTAAACAAATTAAATGGTGGCTAAGCAAATCACATGTTTGTAACTCCAAGCTTATCCAATGGTTGGTTTTTGCCAGAAAATGGCAAAAAAATAAATAAATGGTAAAATATGATCATGTGACCCCAGAATAGTGTACCAGGTTGTAAATTGTCAAGCACCTGAACTGATCATGTGACCACAGAATGTGCAGCAATAGTAACTTGAGGACAGTTGTAACTTTTTGAGTCCATCATAACTTCAAATGGTTGTTAAACAGCAGTCAAAAAGCAAGGACTACCTATAACAGATTTCCTTTAATTATGAAAAATATTTATAAAGACAATTTCTATATATTATAAATATTGTATGAATTTGGAAATTTAAAAACATGTTTGAACTCTTAAAATTAAGAGTTCTAAAAAGAGAACTAAAAAGAGAAAGAAGCTTAGTGCGATCGTGCAAAGCAACAAGGTTGGATTTTTAATGTTAACTATTACATATTTGCATAATTAAGAAAATCCTGTTTAATAGCTAAATGCATTCCATCTAAATTATGTTCCTAATATACTTTGTATATTATGCACAACTACATTACAGAGCTTTCTCTGATCTATTTAATATGTTTCTTAGTATCTTTAATAATTTATTGCATGCTTTAGGTATTTATTTGAACTTTAAAGACACTCTCCGATTCATTGGTAGTGACTCTTAGGGACAGAGGCGTGGTTTATTGTCTTTTCCTCACCTTTTCATTGGAGCCTCTCTCTCTCACTCGACTTTGGTAACCCTAACCTTTTTTTCAGTCTTTCCCCTTTTCTCATCTTGAGTACAAGAAATATGGTGAAATCAGTACCTACTGACAGTGCTTTACCTTATTTTCTGGGCCTCTATGCAGAGCATCCAGACCTCTATAGGTGCTGGTCGGTTTCCTCTGAGGAATTTCTAGGCTCCAGTGGTATGTCTTTATAGCTTTCAAATGTAAGATGACAGGGTGGCTTTCTGTTGCTGCGCTAACCCTTTCATTGTCTTCCATGTTAAGATACAGATACATATTGCAATAAAAATTACCCTAGAACTATTGTTTAATTAAAGCTGGGCTTGTTTTAAAGACATTAGCTTAAGAAGGAAGGTTTTTCCCCCCCACAGAAACAGCCTCTTAGGAAATATCTAAAAAGCATTTGATAATTAGATAATAGAAATGCTAAAGGTTGAGTATATGTGTGACTACTTAGTTCCCACTGTAGAGCCATGGAGAGATACTAATTATAATAAAATTTTCCTATACATTTTCTTTCAAGGTACTGATATCTTAAACATTTGGATGATAGGCATGAGCTCTTTAAGACAAAAAAAATAGTTTGCTATAAAATTCCTTCTTGTAATCCTGGAGTTACTTGTGCTTATAGATTTTTGTCTGGTAAAAGAAAAGCTGCAGTTCTTGTGGAATTTACTGTAATGCAAAGAAAGGGTTTGCGCTTGCCTGCATGTATACTGTTGTAGTTTATTTTGCCAAGTATTAAATACAATTAATTTGAATTATACATAGAAACTTAATTGCTACAATTAAACCAAATACCCAAATATCCTTAATAAATATTACTTTACATATGAAATATTATAGGTTTAAAAAACAGAGGCAAAAATGGTATTGAAATCATTGAGAGATTATGAGTTAACATTAATACTACATTTTAAATGTGTCCTTGAACAACTACTTCAGTTGCAATCCTGTTTTTGAAACAAATGCCTTGAAAATAATTTGGCAATCTAAATTGAATGAAATACAGTTTTGTTCTTTAAACAATGTTAATATATGGACATCATTTTGTGGGGCACTGTCACAATCAATTCATGAAACTCCTTCAAATCTCTCATATATGTCTGTATGTATACATATCCACACAATCAAATATTTGTTTAGTTAAGTTTTCTTACTCATTAAATACTAGAATACCTCTAGTTTTGTCTAAAATATTTTTTGTATAATTAATGAGGACGGTATTATTTAATATATGTTAAATCTTGCATGTTGATGTTTTATGAAAGGACCTTTCTTAAATTTTAACTCAGAATTGTATTATTTATTTTCCTATTTGGGTGGGAAACACAGTTTCATTGGTTATAGAAATAGTCTTCCGATATATTGCAACATTAACTTAACTAATTCTTAAATAGGGCTTCTGCTAAAATGCATATATATGTGACTGTAACTACAGCTATGTAAGTGATGGTTAAATTGCTGCCTAGTTTAAAAATGCATGTTCTATTACATTTATATAGAATTATGAGCTTCATGTGAAATAACCTCTGAATCCTTTGATCTAATATTACTTGAATTTGTGAAGTGGTCAGTGTATTTATATTCAGTGCATATGTATTTACATATTTGAGTGAGAGCCAGAGTGATTTTTGACCATTCTTTATTCTCATGTTTGACATGCAGTATCTCTCAAAATTTACATTGTAGAATCACGCAAAATTTTGGAACTACTTTTGATCAGAACAAAGATTTGTCAAAATCAGAAATTTGCTGTGTTAAAAAGTATTTCATTACATGTAGCCTAGGATTGTTGTTGTTGTTTTTCCTATTGTAGCTTTAAAGTTCTGTAGATCACTTTGCTCTCCAAGAAATAATTCAGTGCTTCTGGGATTTTATGGTGAATATCTGTGGTTTTTTTTTTCTTTTTTAGGCTTTGAATTATATTCCATGGTGCCTTCAATTTGTCCTCTAGAGACTCTCCATAACTCCTTGTCTTTAAAGCAAGTGGATGAATTTCTTGCCTCAATTACAGCCTCAACCTCGTGTGAAAATTTTCCAAATGCATCTACACCCTCCTTTCGTAATTATTTACTATATGTTCTATTTTTCAAACTGCAAAACATTGCTAAGTGTAAACAATTCATTAAAATATCAGAATTAGCACTTTGAGTTGCTTACATATCTCTTTATATACCTAAGATTTAGAAAAACAGAATCTAAGACATAAATATGGTACAAAACAGTGTCTAAGATAAATGGTCATGAAATTCCAATTACAGAAGGGGCTAGATTACAATTGTATTGATTTGCTTGTTTGTATAGATTTAAAAATACTTAATTCCAAACAATGTGGAGTACATATTCCATCCTAAGGCCTGTTGAAAAACTGTTGGTGACCAGTCCTTTAGTGGATGGCAGTTTCCAAACATACATGCATTTCTTATTTCTCCTTAGCTTTAGCATTTTGATAGATTCACTCAACTGAATCTTGCTTAACAACGATACTATGCAATTGCCAGATTTATGTGTTTAGAATATAATATATAATAACAAAGGTTATTTCCATCTCTACAAATACTAAAGATCCCCAAAGTTAAATTGCTTTTCTCAACATTCTCTTGTTCAAGACTACTTTTTAAATCAGTTTCACCTTGCCTCTAAAGTCCCAGCAGAATTTATAAATTTATCCATGTGCTAATTTATGTGATATTGTAATACAGGTAATCTTATGACCGCAATGGAGCATGGTTGCAAGTTGTGATGGTTGTCAAGTGAGAACTCCTACGTGATCATTTTGCTTAATGACCACAATGATCCCTGTTCTCCCTATCCCAGTTGCAGCATTTTCACAGCTCTTATGTGGTCTGTCCTAGGCCTTCACCACTTCCTGCAGCACTCCATGCTCTGCTTACCAACACACTGAGTTCTTACAGGCCTTGGACTTGCTTTCTCACCTCACTGAGTCCCTGCAGGCCTTGATCCTGCTTCTTGACCTACTGGGCGTCACACTCTCATCACCATATCACAGATTAGTCATTTATCTTTTGGCAGATCTTCAGTAAGCAGCAGTTCTGCCACATGGCCTCTTTACACATTGACAGCCATGTGGCATCAGCCTGGAAGTGTCTGCCATTTTGGCAGTGGCCACAATGAATTGTAGCTGTTCCAAAATGGCACCCACTTCCAGGGATAATATCACATGATCTCCACTGTATAGAAAGGTCCTGTGGAAGAGTGGCTGCTTGCCAGAAATCTCTAAAAAAAAGTGAGTGACCAATCCATGATGGGAGATGGGGTGGAAAGTGTGGGATCTAGCAGGGTGGGAAATAGGCCCAAGGCCTGTGGTTATCAGATGAGACAGGGTGAGGGAGGGGAGATAGGTGGAGGGTTCTGCAAGCTTCCCTGTGGTCTGTGCAATAGCAATAGCAATAGCAGTAGACTTATATACCGCTTCATAGGCCTTTCAGGCCTCTCTAAGCGGTTTACAGAGAGTCAGCATATTGCCCCCAACAATCTGGGTCCTCATTTTACCCACCTCGGAAGGATGGAAGGCTGAGTCAACCCTGAGCCGGTGAGATTTGAACCGCTGACCTGCTGATCTAGCAGTAGCCTGCAGTGCTGCATTTAACCACTGCGCCACCTTGGCTCATATAAGGTGGCTCATATGTGGATTGCTAAGTGTTCAAATTTTGTTCACAACTGTAGAGACCCTGTAGCAGCTGTAATTTCAGGCATGGGTTGTAATTTTGAACAGTCACTGAATGAATAGTCATAGGTCAAGGACTACCTATATACAGGGGGGAAGGTGTGGACTACCAGTGGAAGACCCAGATTCCATTCCATGGAAACTCACTAGAAGGTAATATATATAATGTATACTGAAATAACAAGAGATAAATCTAATGAATTAAAAAAGAGTAAACCTATACCCAAATATACAACAGTGAACAATATCCAGCTGCTCATACTGATGACTGAAAATTCTAGAAAGTGTATTTCCACTACCATTCCAAAGATGATCTATCCAATGTTTCAGTGGTGTCATGATCTAAGGGACTGAAAGAGAAGAGGCATGCCAAAGTCAGGTTGAGTAATTTTATTTCCTAAAGATTTACATAGACGTAGAACAACAGAGTTGGAAGGGACCTTGGAGGTCATCTAGTCCAACCCTCTGCTCAAGCAGGAGAGTCTATTTCAGGCAAATGGCTGTCCAGTATCTTCTTGAAAGCCTCTAGTGATGGGGCACCGACAACTTCTGAAGGCAAGCCATTCCACTGGTTGATTGTTTTCACTGTTAGGAAATTTCTCCTTACTAGCGATGCTCAAAAAAATAATAATGTCGTTTTGTTACAGAACTTCTTATCTTGCCCCTGTTAATCTTTTAGGTTCTCCATCATTTATTGAATCCATAACAGAAAGAAAGTGTTCTTTGAATACTTATACCCCTGCTAAAATCCAACCAACAACATTTGAAGACTTTGCAGTGCGGAGATCTGTTGAGAGAGGCCCCTCAGGTAAGTAATGCTTGAAAAAGTGTACCTGTTCTCATATCAGTAAGGTTTTAATTGGTCATCTCCCCAGACACCAGAGGGGAGTCCTTGGGACCTCCCGGATGACTTCCCATTGACTTTCTAGGGAAGACAGCAGGAAAGATTGCAAATGGTGATCACATGGTTGCGGGCGTTTGACAATCGGTCATAAAGTTGTCAACACCTAGATTGCAATCATGTGACCACACACTGCAACAGCTGTCTCTGTTCAGGAGCATGGTAATTTTGAATGATCACTGAACAAATGTTTGTTAAGCAAGGACTAAGCATTGATTATCTGTTTACAATTGGGCTTAATCAATTAATACACAAATGGAAAAAATAGTTTGACCTATGAAAGTGAAGTACTGTACCATTTTTTTGCTTGCACCAGTGACTTGAAAAAGCTGAAAAAAGAGATGCCCTTTAAAGTATTATATAATAATCATATTTAATATAAAGCTCAGCACATTTTCCAAGTCTTTTTCTTGTTTTGAATGCTCCAGATGCTAGTGTTCCCCCATATTTTGCAGATCTTGTTTTAACCGGCTATAGTTGAAAGTATTTTGTGTGACATTGTGGCTCATAAGATCTTGACTTTCTTACTACCTATCATTTGCTAGAACTGCTCAGTTTGCTTCCAGCCCCTTTCCTTTCTTGGGATTCTATTAAATATTGCAAGTTTACATTAAAAGCCATATATGAAGCCAATATGTAAACATTTCTGTAAGTTATGCATAGCTATAATTTTAACTTTAGTGGAAGATTATCAATTTTTAAACTGATATGTGATGTAAAAAACATCCAGAGGTTTTAGTTTTAAGAGTAATTCAAAGAGGTGAATAAGTACACATTTAAATAATTGAAAAATGAGTAAACTCTTGATCTAATCAGGTTTGGCAAGGAACTTAGTTTTAAGCCTTAAGAAAACTTTCAGCTGTTCTAATTTAGTTTTGTTCACAAAACATAAGCATATATTTTAAAGCACCATTCTGAATTTAAATCCAATTATTTACAGTACAGTGCAAATTTCAAATGGACTGGGTATTGTGGAAATTTTTGAACTCATTTGTAGAAATTATTTTGAACTCAGAATGAGGCATTATGGATTCATCTTAAAATTTGATTGAAATAGTATTTTGTTTCTGTACAGGTGCCACTTCCTCTTCAGTTCCTGATATTTGACTGCACCATTAGAAGACAAAAAGGATTTAAATAATAGTAGTGTGATGTTAGTAGTGAAATGCTTTCTGAAAAGGAATTAAGCACTTCAGTCAAAACTTGAAAGAACACTTCATTGCCTCTTCTATAATGAACAAACCATTACAGAAAAAGGCAGTTTTTGAAATCACATTTGCCACAAAGAGTGTTTCATTGTATATAAAATAACTTCTGGAATGCATAAGTTGCATATTTTCAGGTTAAAGGTGACTTCCTTTCTAAAATGTAAAAAGCAACAAAGTTTACACTTGTAATTTTAAGGTACAGATATCTTAAATGTAAAAACTGCACAAAATTTTCCATCTTTGTTGTCTAAAATATGCGCACAATGCAAAACCAAAACAGCCTAGCATAGTAGTATTGTATTGCAGATACAGCTAGAAAGGGAGAAAAGACAAAGATTTTTAAAAGGTCGTTATTTGGGGACAGATTTACAATAGGCCTTTTTAACGTTTACAGTAGGCCTTTTTTCATTTCCAAGAAATATTAACATGGCTCCGATTAATGGCTACTTTTCTGAAATCTGATCCCTAAACTAGGATTTAGTAATTTATACTTTACTTCTGGTACTCACGCATGTTGTTTGAATTACAGATGAAAACTCTTTAGATTCTTGGACTTGGAAAATGCAAAGAAAATTGAACAACCTGCTGTAGAAACTAATACTCTAAAGCTAATGTGTCATATATTTTGAGTCATATAAGCACTAATAGCATCTCTATAATATTGTACAATTGTATTGTTAAAAGTTAAATTTGGTTTCAGTTCACAAATCAGCTTCACTGAAGATTTATTCTAACTTGACAAAAGTCAGGGCCATCAAAACAAATTTAAAAGAAAACATTTTTAATGCTAATGTAGCACAGTTAATGGTTTCATAGCAAATATTTTATTTCTATTTCATGCATGCTCACTACTAAGTTAAAAACTCATTCACACTCTATGCCAATTATTTTCTCTGTCAGCAGTAGTTGTATAGGGAACAAAATCTAGGTTCATTCCGTTTAGTCATTCATCTGTCAAGTGCAAGGTTTAGACTGTAATCTCTCTCCATGCTTCAATTTAAATATGGCTTCTGGAAGCCTCACATCCTTCATATTATATCGAGGTACCTTCTAATGAGATTTCACTGTAGTAATTACATAGCTAAAGAAGTACTCTCCAAAAAGTCATACACTCATAAATTAGTATCTTGCCCTAAGATGACACCTGGCCTGCTCAGTATTGGTGTAGAAGTACCTCTTACTTTTTCCTATTTGAATATGAGACATTTTGGGAGTCAGTCATGGACAGTATATACATGATTTACCACATTCTTTGTTTACATCAATATCTGGAATGTGCGCAAGACTATTCTAACCTATGCTTTAGTACAGGGCATGAATTAATTTTGATTGCATTATTTATGAATTTATTTTGTGTTTACATACTATCCAAAGGGTTTTTTTTATTTAAAAAAAATGTTTGCCACATAGGTTTCTGCAGAATACTGTTTAAAAGTATAGTCCTATAGAAGGATAACGGGGCTTTATAAAAGCAGAAACAGCTGGTCTGTTTACATTCATGATTGTAATTTTATATATCTGTACATGCTGTCATTTGTTGCGTTTTCAAATGAAAAGAAATTGCAACAAAACCAATTCTATGAAATTACTGTTTCATCATTGAATGTATGGGTGTAACCAGTGCTGGGATTCACTTAGCTTCCCTACTGGTTAGCAAATGTGCGCGTGCTCCAGCCGCCACCACTACTTGTTTACCTGAACTGGTAAAAACCGGAAGACTACCACCACTAGGCGTAACCCCATATAGAAAATAGGCATATCATTCTTTTCTTTTTTTTCATTAATGCCTACTGGTGGACAATGTTTAAAGATAATAATCAGCGTTATCAGACATCCCAAAACTGGAACTCTGCTTTAAAAAAAATATTCAGGTTTGTCAACATCTATATATTAGTTGTCTTTTGACTTCCCTTATGTCCTGCTCAATTATTGAATGGTTAATATATTTTCAGTCTTTGCAGTAACTCTATAATTTAGGAATGGCAATATTTTTGTTTATACTGCAAGAGGCCTGGTTTCAGTGCCTTTATGAGAATAAAAATACTTCTCATTCAGTAATTTTTCATAAAAGTGTAATTGCTTATAAAACTTGCCATCGCATTGCTGTGCCTATTCTATGGGATTATATAAGCAATTATTAAGATACCAAATATATGATGGGTTCACAATTCTCATTGCATTTCATCTTCTAAAATACAGGTTTTTAATATGGACAATGTTTGTCTTGCTCACCTATGAATGTATATGTTATATTTTGTTTTTCTATACAAAATGTTGTTTAATTATGTGTAACATTCCAGTCAACCAAAGCTTTGCCATAAAAATACAATGTGCTCTTAAATAAAAGAGTCCTCAAAAAAGCAGCATCCATTCTACTTGATCTTTAATATGATTTTTTGTCCTATTTGACAAATATTCCTAAGAGACTGAATACAGAATTACAGTCTTAAGTAAATGTAAGTATAAGAGCTATCATTACAGGTAGTTCTTATTTAGCAACTGTCTCATTTAGCAACAATTCAGTTACAACAGTGATAAAATAGTAACTTTATGATCAGTCCGTGCAATATAATCTTCACAGTGCTGTGTAAAGGTCAACAGAATTCAAGAGGTTCAGAACTTAGTCGGTTTGTGGCTATGTAGAGTCGCTAGGCTGATTCCTCTTTTGATTCTGTCATTCCTTTTCCTACCATAATAGTGTGTTGAAAACATCTGCTCTGTATTGTTATCAAAATAATATGATACTTTGGTATAAATTTATGCACGAGAATAAATACCGGGAACATGTCACTCTGAGCCACAGTGCAAAATATAAGAGGGATAATCTCTTTTAATTGACAGATATACCGTATGTAATATTCTGGATGCTTTTTCAGGCTATCCTGTTCTTCAACTATCTGAAAGAATGTGACACTGTAGATCAAAATCTGTTTACTATTACATAAGAGTGCCAAACACAGAGTAATGGATGGAAATTGTAGGAAGGCAGATTGATTATTAGAACACCATTTCCTAAAAATTAGAGCAGTTTAACAATAGATCCAATTAATCAAGTAGCTGTGGGTTCTGTTCCCTGGATCTGTTCAAGCAAAGCTTAGGGAATGATCTATTGGGAATGTTTGCTTTGATGTTGTTAGTGACAAGGGAGTTAGATTCACAATGTTAAATGGTCTCCTTTAAATCTGTAATTGTCAACAGATGGTTCTTGCTCTATCCCTAATATGGATCTTTCCACAGGACTGTAAAGACTCTACCCATTTCTCTTTTCCTCGTTTTACCTTCATCTCTCTTTATATTTTTGTATTTTATGCTTTGTAAAAAAATTAATAAAATTTTGAATGGTAAAAAAGGACTATATGATAGATAAAGTATTTCAACATTAGAACATCTAACCTATTCATTAATCAAAATGAAATATTTTTAAGATTCTTTCTTGCTCTGTAGTTCTATTGCTAGCAACACAAAATAGACTAAATTCAAATTTTCTCAGAAAAAGAAATTCCATTTTAAGTCAGTCTCATTTTAGAGTACAGCCACCTTTGCTCATTACTGTTACTTTATTACATTAACTCACTGCAATAGAATTAAAGCCATTAATAAGTTTGTATCAAATTTATACTACCTTATTCTATATTTTGGTGACATTTTGAAATGGCTTTAAAGAAAATGCTCAATAGCTAGCTATGTTAATGATTGAAACTATTAATGAAACGTACTGTATTTTTTTGGAGTATAAGATGCACCAGAGTTTAAGGTGCACCAAGATTTTGAAGATTTTTAAAAAATTTAAAAAGGCCTCCCAAACCCTCTGCATGCCTTGTTTTTTGTGAACGGTCCATTTTTGCTCGTTTCCCCCCACCCCAGCTTCCAGGAGCACTTTGCAGACCTCCCAAACCCTCTGCACGTCCATTTTTGCAAAGGGGGCAGGGTTTCGGGAGGGCAAAAATGCTGTATTCAGTGTATAAGATGCACCCAGATTTTCACCCTCTTCTTGGAGGGAAAAAGGTGTCTTATACTTTGGAAAATATGGTATCTTTTAATTTACAGAGGCATAAGTAATATGATGTCATAATGAAACAGGTATATATTTATTGTTGTTTATACTGTTATGAGAATTATTGCTGTCCAGAAACCAGTTAGATTGTGAGTTGCCACGCCCTCAACTCAAGATACTATAAGATATATTGTATAAATTTCAAAGATGGGATGCTAAATTGTTCATAGGAAAGTATTTCTGACCAGTAAAGAATTCTTTTTTAAAAAATTTGGTTCAAGTATATAATTACATTAGATTTGAGTGACAGGAAGAAATTTAGTAAATGTAGTATCCCACAGATTATTAGTGGTATCCATTATACAATTGTAAAGGCATAGGAATCAGAGATTAGGTCTGTGGCATATGGATGCTAAAGCCTGTTGTGACTGGGATTTTGCTGGTATGAGCCAGACATGGAGTGAAGGAAAAAGTAGTGTCCCCCACTCCCCCCACCTCCAGCTTAAATGTATTCTTGAAGGATAGCTGGGCTGTTATGGATGACCTGACCAGGAGTGAGGAGGGGAGATTTTGAGTGAGCAATCCCATTGGTAGGGGGAGGTATATAAGTGTTAAAAACTATCGACTGGGGGACTACCAACCTCCTCAGTAGCTGCAGGACATACTCCTGGAGTAACCCAAAATTGGAAAAGAAAATGAATGGAGAATAAAGGTTTATTGCTGCTGTGGAAGGAGAAGCTGGAGTGAAAAGGCTGCAGAAAAGAGGGAAGAGAAGTGTCCATGGCAAGTGTCAGTTATTATTTGGAGTGTGAAAACCCAGAGAGACAAAACTCCATACAAAGACCCCAAACCATGGAAGGCTAGAAAGGATCTGGCTGGTTGCAGGCAATGGCTTCCCCCATGATCGTGAAAAGAACAGAGGGATAATTAGCTGCCAATACGACAGCCCTGGTTTTGCAAATTAACCATAGAATTGCAAATAAAAATAAATTTCTAAATGCCAATCACAATTTCTAAAATGTTTCTAGAACTCTATTTTTCATTTTCCATTATTTTTTTATGAAGTTTAATAATATTGAGTAGATATTCTCAATCTGCACGACCTCAAAGTCACTATGAAAGCTGGCATTTTTATTTGTCAAAGATTGTAATAAGCATCTTTAAAACACTGAATGGAAACAATCTGCTCAAATAATAATCCATCTGAGTTTGGTTTGACCTATTCTAGAAATCAGGCCAAGTTAAGAAATGAATTGGACAACAAAGCGAAAAAGTATAATTGTAAAGAAGTGAGAGCAGTATGTGATCTCTTTCAAAAATAGCAACTGGTAGAAAGATAATATAATGCAATATATAGCATTGCTATTCAGCATTCATACATTACATGCCATAATAAATTACATGCCATAATAATTGTGTGTTGCATCAGATTTTTATTTAAATATGAAATTCTTTTCAAAAAGTTCAAAATAGGACAAATGTAATATTACACAATTTGCTGCATTAATTTGCTATTACAAAATTACAAATTGCAATATAACAAATTATCAAGCAAAAAGATAATAGTGTCCACAAAAAACATTATGCAAAATGATACCATTATCTTATGTCATTAAGTCATTGGGAAAAGAATGCACTTTAGAACTTGTCTCGGACATCTGTCACAATTATTTAAATTATGGTTCATTATTATTATGGTTGTTTGCATAGTCATCCAAATGTTTACATGGGATTTGATATTTTTATTCACCTATTGAGTCCTTCCTGAGGACCTGGGATAGGCAGATTTGTTATTTAATACTATTAAAGGTATAGTCACAGGATATCAGCTGTTCCAAGCAAAGCTGCCTTTTGCAATTGACTGATGATGATTTTGTCAATGTTGATTGTGTTCAAGTAATGCTTCAGTTGTTTTGGAGTTTATTATAATTATTTACTAGAAGTCAACATGGGCTTGTTAAAAACAAGTCATGCAGGCAAACTTTATTGCATTCTTTGACAAAGTATCTAAAATAGTGGATCAGGGAAATACTGTGGACATAGTTTACTAGTCTTCAGTAAGTATTTGACCAAGTAGATCACAGCCCATTTCTATATAAGATAGAAAAATATGGGCTAGGCAGAATCACCACCAGGTGGATTTGCAACTAGATGATCAACTGTGCTCAACAATCCTCAATGGAGCTATATCTAAATGGAGGGATGCTGCATGTAGCATGCAGTGGAATTTAAGGTTCTGTCTTAGGACCAGTATTCATCAATGTTTTCATAAATAATTTAGATGTGATGATGTATCAAATTTGCAGACCACCCCCAGCTGGGAAAAATATCCAAACTTTAGAACAGGGGTGTCAAACTCACGGCCCATAGGCCAGATGCGTCATGTACTGGCCCTGTTCACTTTAGCAAAGGGGAAAAAAGTCCTGATATGTCATGTGGCACCACCGTGATGATGCGAGTTTGACACCTCTGCTTTAGAATATAAACTCAAGATGCAGAAGGATCTTGACAAGAGTTGAAAACCAGGCACTACCTAACAGAGTTAGGCAAGAAAAACTAAATGCACAGGTATAGTATCAGGCTCAATAGCAGTAACTGAGAGGGAACTAGGTGGACAACCATTTAAATATGAGCCAGCAATGTCCTGGGCTGCCAAGAAATCCAGTGCAGTGGTAGGCTGCATCAACAGAAGGATAATATAAAATATAAGTTGTAAGAAAAGATAAGTGATTATTTTAGAAACAGAGCTGAGGGAACTAAAGATTTAAAGCAGAAGAAAAATACAAACCTGATATCAGTTAACACTGGGATTTACAGAATGATACAAAACAGTTTAGTATCAGAAATATTAAAGGGGATATTTGAAGAATGTAGCTAGAACCACAATATCAACACTTAGCAATGATATCAGCTATGAATGGATTATTTCTAAAAGATGTAAATGAAATAACAGATATAGAATAAATTTTATCTGACGACAAAAAGTACAGAATGTTCTATCAATGTCCAACCAAGAGAATGGTTTTGAAAAGGATGTTTTGCTGGATATACAAAAGAAACTGACAAATTTTAAAAAACAAAAGGAAAATACAAATAATACACTAAGACCTGTAAAATGTTTTCATACTGGATCTATAATTCTGGATGCCAATCCAGAAAATATTTTATGGATGTGCATATAGATAAGATATGAAATATGGGATAAGAGATAACTGTTACAAGGGTGAAGAGTTATTTGTTTATACTTCAATTGTACTCAGATTACACAGTTTGATGGAAATTAAATTTTTATGTTATATAAATAAATAAATAAATAATGGAAAAACTGTTTATACTTGTGATGAACATTAGAAATAACTTGTTTATGTATTTTTTTCCTGCAGTTTTTATTCTTTCAATTCTCCTTTATTTAGTGTATAATAATTTTACTAGTAAGGGTAAATAGATAATAATGACTATCTATCATCTATCTATCTATCTATCTATCTATCTATCTATCTATCTATCTATCTATCTATCTATCTATCTATTTATCTAATCAAGGTGGAAACTAATCAAGGAGGGAAACAACCTAGAACTAAGAAGGAATTTCCTAACCATTAGAATAATTAATCAGTGGAACAGCTTGCCTCCAGAAGTTGTGAATGCCCCAACACTGGAAGTCTTTAAGATGTTGGATAGCCATTTGTCTGAAATGGTATAGGGTTTCCTGCCTAGGCAGGGGGTTGGACTAGAAGACCTCCAAGGTCCCTTCCAACTCTGCTATTGTATTGTACTCTGTATTTATGTTGTATGTACGTACATACATGTATGTTGTATGTACGTACACACACGCACACAGTGCTCAAAGACTTGCAACATAAAAGACTTAGTGTATTCAATGATATATTAACTTTAAATCTGTATCCTGGAAAAGAATTGGGAGACTCCTATGTTGAAATTCTCAATCCCATGAAACTTATGAATTAATTGCTTTATATCTAGTTGCTATCAGCCTAAGCTATCTCATATGTCATGATGTTAAATGAAATGACATTGCAACAGAAGCCACCACTGAGGGGTAAACATTTGGAGAGAAAAAAGGATAAAATTTCTAAGGAAGAGCTGTTGGCTAAACCAGTCAAACTGAAAAGGACACAACAGCAAGATGAAATCAGGTCTACTGAGAAATTTAATTTATTAAAAATCTGGCAATCTTAAAATATTTATCTCTTGGGTAATGGGTTCATGTATTGTTACCCAAAGGGGAAAAAAAACATTTTTACCCAATTATGGGCAATTTACTCAGGTTTGGGAAGGACTTTCTAAAGGAAAACAGTTCACTTTGAATCCTGTTGTCTTTATTGTCCAGCCATCTTTCTTAACGGGAAAAACATTTTGTGTTCTTCCAGGATGTTTTCGATTTTCCAGCGTTGTCCACCCGTCCTGATATTTAGATATTTCTGAAACTTGGAAACGTTTAAGATGCGTGGACTTCAACTCCCAGAATTCCCCAACCACCAATTGCTCTAGAAATTTCCCATCCAAGTACTAACAGTTTAGCCCTAAGGCCAGTCAGCCACCTGAGAGGCAAATGGATGTCATAACATCTTTTGTCACCCTTGTCGTAGTCCCAGATTTCATGAAAGAAAGCTTACAGCCTCACGAAGGCCTATGGGTGCCCGAGAATGTATGGGCTTGATTTCCAACTACGAATGTCCTGGACTGAGATAAGGCGAAAAAGTGTCAAGTGCCCGGAACTTTCTTTTCCTTCTTTTATGACTTCATGAATTCCATCAGCTCTGACCGAACAAAAACGCGCGAAAGGCGGCGGCGGCGGCCACCAAAGGAGTAAGGACGGGTAGGGGGAGAAAGGCGCCGCTAGAAGGCAAAAACGACTTTACGCGCTCCGCATTTCCCACGCTTAGAGTCAGGCCGGGAAATAAGGCAGAGCCTTAACGGAGGCACCGGTGGGCGGGACCGCGGCAGGAGGAGCGGCTCTCCGCCTCGCCACGCCAACTCCAATCCCCGCCCCAAGCCGGCAAAATAAGAGAGCGGGGAGGGGCTGCCGCTTGCCTCTCGCTTGCTCTTTCGCCTGCTCAGCGTCGCGGGCGGCGGGAGCGCGGCCCGCAGGCCCCGGCATCCTGGACCGCAGGTAGGAGGAGACCGGGATGGTGCCGGTAGGCCTGGGGTGGAGGGAGGAGGGGTGGGGGCGCCAGCGACGCCAAAGACGGCGCTTGAGCCGGTGGAGGGCTTGCGGCCCGCCCTTGGAAGGCTGCGGGCGGGATGGGCCCCGGCAGCCGTAAGAGCTGCAGAGCAGGAGGGCGAGGCGGCAGCCGGGCGGACGAGGAGCGGCGACGCGAAGAGGGAGCAGGCGCGCTCCCACCCGCTGACTGCGGTGCGGGCGTCCTTGTGGCACAAGCCCGCGTGTGCTTGGCGGAGGGAAGGGATAGGTGGGTGGGCGCTGCCAACCCAGTGCTTGTAAACACAGCGGGCGCGCCCGGCTTGGTGGAAGCCCGGGAGGGGGAGGGGGCTGCCTCTTGAGATTCCCGACGGCGGAGATGAGGTGGCCGGTTCTCTAGAGGTCACCTATATGCGCGGTTGCAAGGTAAACACTCGCCGACGCTGTGGCTGGGTTTGCGGGTGCCCGTCGGACCCCCTGCGAGCGCAGAAATCCCTGCGCGCGCGCGCCTGCCTGCCTTCCCGAGCATCCGTGACGCAGCAGTGGCTTCATTGTGTCTGCGTGTCTCTGGCTCGGCGAAGGCGGCGCGTTGTGGGGTTTCGTTCGGGGAATGCGTAGAGGTCGAATTCGCGCGTGCGGTGTTTATAAAAAGTGCGAGCCGTCGTTTGGCCTACTTTTGTGCCCGGTGTAGGTTGTTGTGGGCGTGTGAATACGTGTGCTTTTGACTCTCGGGGTATACTTACCTAAGCTTGGTGTGGCTTAACATGTATGACGTTCGTTCTTGGACCGCCAGTCTTTGCTTATTAGCTATTTTATGAACGGGTTTTAAGATTAAAACTATTAAATAACGTTCGCATTCAGAGAAGTAGCCCAGTCTCTATTTAAACATGCTGCTGGTTTCAGTGGCATTTTGATCCTCGCTGTATCCTACATATACTTACCCTTTGCATAGGTAGAAGATATACCTTGTAGGAGGTGTCTATTTTTACAGTGAAAAACAAATGTGAAAGCAGTGCGATTCCTTCATGTACACTCCGGCTCTTAAATGTAAGCCATTTGACTATATTAAACCTTTGATTTTATAAGACTTTAAGAAGCCAGAGAGCAAAGCCATAAATCTGAGCAAGCTTCAGGCTATGTACAGCTTTTGATGTTTGATGTACTTATGTTTTTCTTTTGTTTGCAGTTTCATAGTAGGTAGTGGAGATCTGACATTTTGCCATCTGCTATTTGCAGCATATACTTCATGGCACCGCTGTCTATTCCCATTGAGGAATAGAGCTGATTCTGAAGCATAGTTTTTAAGCCTGTGCGTATGTATGCCCACGTGTTTCAAGGACTCTCCATGGTACTGCTGTCTTGCCTCATTGTCCATAAAAGGAAGTAGCACTATGGAGAGCTCTTGGCAGCTACAGATTCCCTGCATAACAGAGAGTTTGCTTTCATCTGGCTTGCCTTCAAATGTATCTTCCTAGATCTGCTCCCCTAAATCAGATCTAAATAATGAGGAGGAATCTCTGCAGAATGACTGCAAATAAAATTTGGTGTTTAGACAAGAAAAATGTAATGTTTTCATTTCAACCAATGGCAAAGTTGTTAAAAATCATGCCAATGCTTGAAGGCTTTTTTTTTTTTTTTTTGGCAGATAAGATGACTGCTGAATATTTTCAGCAAAGGCAGCATGCTATAAATAAATACTGTCCTGCAGTAATTTTATTTCTCACCTGATTTTTTTTAAAGATAATCCCAGGACTTTTAGTTCTGCAGCTTCACTTTTAAATTTTGGTTTTTTGTGGTTGACTTTTAGAGTAAAAAAAGAAAAAAAAGGTATATAGTAACAAAACTATATTTTAAAACAATTGTTAACAGTAACATAAAAACTAATGGCAACATTAACTTTAAAACATTAAGCCCAACAATAATAATTCAATATTCAATAATACTGAATATAAGAGCATTGTAGCCCAAAATCATACCCAGCAATCTAGTAAAATTATACATTATTTTTCTGTGTTGATATAAAATTGCTAAAATTGCTGTGTTTTGATTTGCTGTTGCCATTTCCATAAGTAATTTTCTAACAAGCAAAATCTGAGATCTGCTTCTAACAATATACGTCACAGGTTCAGAAAATCTGAGTATTGTATACATGCTATGTCCCTTTGAATGCCAGAGGGTGAAGGATGTTAATATCCAAAGCATCATAGTTTTGTAGCTTGTCTCTTGATATTTAAGATTAGGCCTGAAGGTGTGTGTGTGTTTGTGTACACATGCGTATGTGCTGTATGTTTATTTCTCTAAATCTGGTGTGTAATTATTTTTACTATTGTAATGACATGTGTGTGTGTGTGTGTACAAAAATAAATATACATACAAACACACAAACATACAAAGAGAGAGACATAAAAAGGCATCAATAGATCAATAAGATTAAAAATAAATCTGATTCCAGGCCCAGTAGAGTAAGATTTAATACAATCCCATACAAATGTAAGTTATCAGAGAGACATGCCAGAATCTAGTTTGGGGGGAAAATCCTTATTAAACACTAATGCATGATTTTATGATATAGAATTATATGGTAGAAGTATTTATATGCAAAGTTATCTTCATTGGTATCCATTAGGCTCCAGTCATTTATGAATATATGTTATTTATATGTTTATTTGTAATCTAGGAGATGGAAATGTATGGTGGATCTGCCAGTCTCCAGTGCCGTATTTATATCCAGGAACACCTCTGGGACTTCCGTGGACCCCAGATAAATTTTGAAAAATAAAGGGTGAGGATGTAGGAGGGAGACATTGTTCTGTTCATGTCTGATGCCTTCATTCATTCATTTCCCCATTTTTATTATTTTCATAAGTAACTTAAGGTAGCAAACATACATAGGACACCTTCATCTTCCTATTTTCCTCACATAAACAACCCTGTGAGATTGGCTGGGCTGAGCGCAAGTGACTGGCCCAAAGTTACCTAGCTAGTTTTCGTGGCTAAGGTGGAACTTGAGTTCAGGGTCTCCTGCTTTCTAGCCTGGTGCCTTAACCACTAGAACAAACTGGCTCTCATTTTGCCACTCTTGCCTTTTAGTTTTTGGCTGGTTTTGTTGGTTTTGTTTTTGTGTAGTCTATTTTTTGTCTTCCTGCTGTTATTCATAATGAAATATATGTTGCCTGTGTGTTATTTTCTCCTTGGGTAGTGTTTTGCTTATCTTTGAACTTCTTCGGTTTGATTTTAGATCTATTTTTTCTATAAAAAAAAAAGTAAAAGTAAAAACCTAGATTTAAAAGATCATTATTTTGAAGCCCTCCCTTCAGCTGTTTATAGTTATATCCCTATTAGCATAATAACTGGTTATAATTATAGTTTTAGCCATTTCACAAATGAGCATATACATCATGTAACTCTTCTGTCGTAAGCTTTACATGAATTCTGAAAGTATCCACTGACTGAAAATTTTAGAAATCTTCATATATGAATATGCAAGGAACTGTTGAATTATACATAGAATAGAAGTTCTGGAGAATAAGTCTGAAGAAATATAATATGTATGAACTACATAAATATTTTCAGACATCTGTACACGGAAAACATTTCTAGGAAACATCTGTTGCTAGGGAGAGAATAATCACTAGGGACTAAGATGGGTTGATATGATTTCATTTTCACAATGAACCAGTCTTAATTATCACCCGTAACAAAAATGATTTGAGTGTGATATTTTACATGGGTGATACGGCAAAAAAACACCTTTTATCATTTTCTCATACTATTACTCTCTTAGGAAAATTACAGACTTGTATCAGTGGATATTTTTCTATTATAGCTGAGTGGACAAAAATTCTAGAATGTTTTAATTATATCCTCTGCTTGATGGTTAAAGCTGACTTGAAATTGCAGGAAATCTGTGTTGTTCAGTAGGTTCTCATTAAACTGAAATATTAAACATCTTTATTGATATTCTTTAACATGTTAATGACTTGGATGAAGAAGGGGATGGAATGTTTATCAGATTTCATGAAAAAATTAGTGGCTTAGCTAATACTCTAGAAAATTTAAAATAATCCAATCCTAAAAGAAAGAAGCTGAAAGTTATAGAATGAAGTTAAATATAGACAGGTGCACTTTTTCACTTAGGAAATAGAAATCCCATACATGAGTTCAGGTTACCTGCCTAAATGACATTACATGTGAAGATGATCTTAGAATAGCCGTTAACTGCAAACAATATGAGTCAGCAATGAAATATAGCTGCAGAATAACACAAATGCCATTTTATTCTGTGTTAGTCAAATCCCATTTTCAGCAATACATCAATTTAAGAAAACACATTTTAAGAAGGATTCAGGTCAACTGCACAGGTCAAGAGAAGATCACAAGGATGATGAGAGGGTAAAAAGAAAATCCCGCAAGAAAAGATGGAAGAAGACTTTAGACTTTAGCCTTGTGGGGGAAGGGGATATGACTGCATTCTTTGAGTCCCAGAAATAATGTCACACAGAAGGTCAAAGCTTTGTCATTTAATAGTGCAGAGTAGAAATAATTTAAGTTGCAGGAAGAACTACCTGAATATTATAAATTAGTTTAAAAGTGCTTACATAAAGAAGAGCTAGAGACAACAACATTCTATGATTTTTTGTAACTTTGAATTTTTATACCAAGTATAGACATGATTGCCTAAATGGCTCCTTCCACTGCTGTGATTTTATGATTGTTTGAGTCATGCTCTGATTACAGTTTCTCTATAGAACAATAAGTCCAGCGAGGATGACAACCCTACTCTTTTTTTTTACTACCTTTTACTACTACCAATTTTCCTAATTGGGCACTGGATGCATTTGAAATGAAACACATAGAATTCTTGGATAAAAATGATCTCTGAGAAAATCCTTGCTCTCTTGAAATGTTGGCAGTTACAATTGGAGAGAAGCAAGTTGGTAAAACTACTGCATATTGTATATGTTATGTTCTATGAAATTGTACATTAGAAAAAATTTCCACCTAAAGTATTATGATTAATAGCTTAATTACCCCAGCCACAATTTCTTGAATCCTTAAAGGGCTAGTACTTTATTCCTATCAAGTATGATCCTATATGCAGCTGACTGACTGCTCAGGAAAATCATGCATCCTGCTTCTCTTTTCTTGGGGTTCATAATTTGTGAAATTCTAAAAGTTTTGTTTTTTGGTTAGCATTAAAAATGTTCCTTTAATCGTGGAAGTAATTTTCAGATGTAGAGTCTAGAGGAGTTCAAAAAGAAAATGCTGATGCTCCCCAGAATATCTTTTATTACCCTTCTTCTCACACATGCACATCTTGAACAATGACATTAATAAAACTGAATTAAAGCTCACTGACTTAAAAGGTTTTTTGAACAATGGGTAAAATATAAGTTTGACAGCCATGAAGAGTTTGTTTTGTTGAATAATAATAGATTTTAGTCAATAAATAAATAATCCATATGTTCGTAACCTTTATATGCTATTTGATTAATATAAGATATTCTTCACTTGAATGATTCCTCCCAGATATGTTGTAACTACGTATCCACAATTTTTAGGTAATTTAGCTGGGTTGACTGGCAATTCTGAAAACTGTAGCCCCAACATAACTGGAGACCATTGGGTTGGATGAGGAAATTGTAAGGACATGCAGACATTGCCATTTTTAATACTTAAAGCGTTTGGTCTATGAAATTTGTGTGAGATTTGTTGCCTTTCTGGAATAGCAAGTGATATAAATATTACATTTTAGAGAAATGTAATGCTAAGTTAGCTATTCTTCTACATTTCTCAGCCATCATGCTAAACGTTAGAGAACTTGATATTAAAATGTTATTCCTTATACTGAAAACAAAAGTTTGTTGACCTTCAAAATTATTTGTACAAAACAGCTAAGAAAGAATCAGCCAGCTGTCCTTTGTAATATTCCACAGTCTACAAGGAAAATGCAAGTGTTACTCAGTTTCATGTGGCAAATGTGCTTTCCAAGTTCATTGGCCCATATTAACAGCAATATTAGCATCACCATGATTTATTGCATAAACAGATATATAATTACCATGCTAATGTCAGACCCACATAACTCGTAGAAAGGAAAGTTTACTTTAAAAATAATTACAGGTCACAAAGGAATAGCTGGCAGGCAGATCAACTGCTCAGCAGTGGAACTGGCTGTGTTGGTACTGCAGGTACTCAGCAGAATGCCTATTGGGATGAAAGGTGACGCAAAAACCTAGGCAGTGGTGGATCCTGCCATCAGAGGATTGGTAGGCCACAGGTTATGGAGACCTGCTAATGTACATCCATCATAACTGCAGGTCAATGTGCCATACTTATATAAGGAGCCTTAGATGTCTGGTTTTATCCTACATACAAATCAATACCAGAATTTTTTTTTAAAACTAAACAACTATTCTGAAAGGCAATGATACAAGAGAAGAGGGGCAGGGGAGTTTGTGAAGAATACTTGCACTTTATTTGTGCTAATTTTATTTTTTAGTTCAAGTGTTGACAAAAAGAGGCCTACAATAACAACATTAAAAGAAAGAGCAAATTCCAATGGTAAATTTCTATTAATAAAACTAGATGGGAATGATTAACCTGTTGGGAATACCCTACAAAAATTATTCCAGAGTATTCTCCCCAACTATCCAGAACAGTTGGGGTACAGAAAAATGAGGAAAAATAAAATCCAGAATCAGCTACAAACCCACTCAGTAAAATGTTCAGTTGTGATTTAAAATTCATTGGTCTTCAATTATACTTGCTATACAAATCATAAACTTCTGGCTAGAAAGACTGAATACATACTCTATGAATTGTACTCCTAATAAATCATACAGATATAAAAGAATATACTTCGAGAGTTCCTAGTATGTGTATATGGGCATATCTGTAATGAACTATTAAAGTACCCATTTTTACTATTCATTATTATCTGCATTTGGAGAGTACATGTTCAGTTAGTTTCATTTTGGATTGTTTTACACAAAGCATTCCAAGAATCAAGAATTCAAAATCAGTTCAAATATAGACATTATCAAGTGATTCCAGTAGAGGATCACATATAGCCCTTTTGTAAGTGAGGGTGTTATAACCAAGAGATGGTGATGAGTTAGTGACGAGCTGTGTTGCCACAGTGGTTAGAATGCAGTATTGCAGCCTTACGTGTTGTGTTCACTGCCAGGAGTTTGATTCTGGCTGGCTCAAGTTGACTCAGCCTTCCATCTTTCCAGATACTTGGGGGCAATATGCTGACTCTAAACAATAGGGTGTGTGTGTGTGTAAGTTGCTACTATTACTTGCTGGTCTTTTTTGTTTAGTTTGAGGTTGGCAAATCCCAGTAGGTGCACTCATGTCTTATTTTTTTTTATTTTTGTGACCCTGGTAGTATATTTAATGTAAATGTCAAATATAATGCATGTATAATGATAAGGCATAGGCTAGATAGTGGGAGCCACAGTGGTTCACATGGGCCTGCGCACCGCTGAGATTGATGAGTCGATTCCCGTGAGCGAATAAACTGTGTAGGGACAAAAAAGGAGCCTCCCCCAATTGTCTACTGGCATTCAGGCATCCCGCGGGTAAAGATAACACCGCCTGAAAAAATTCCTTTCACAGAGGCAGCCAGCCACCTCTGTGATCCCTGGTTAACACATGCCATACAATTTTTTTAAAAAGCTAGATGGTGAGAAGGTGCACGCTGCTTTTTTCTCCCTAAATAGTCCTTTAAACATGGGTAAAATATTAAGGTTGCTCAAGATTGTCTAAAATCAAAATTACTATCATTTCTAGAAATCAGAAAGAAATGGTTGCTGGACTTGAGTATGTCTAGTTTAATTAAAATAAGGAGTAGGGGAGACATGATAGCAGTGTTCCAATATCTCAGGGGTTGCCACAAAGAAGGAGTCAACTTATTCTCCAAAGCACCTAAAGGCGTAATAGATGGAAACTAATCAAGGAGAGAACCAACCTGGAACAAAGGAGAAATTTTATAACATGCAGTGGAATGATTTACCTTCCAAAGTTCTTGTGTTCCAACACTGGAGATTTTTAAGAAGAGATTGGACAAACATTTGTCTGAAATGGTATAGGGTCTCCTGAGCAGGGAGTTGGACTAGAAGACCTCCAAGGTCCCTTCCAACTCTGTTATCCTGTTAATTGTAAGTGGAGTTAGATAATAGTGTCTTACTCATTTTCTGAATGTTTTGAATGGAGAAGAGTCTCAGTATCCATCCATTTACCTTTCGGCATATCAGAAAATAGATGAATACTAATTTCTTATGGATAGAGTTACATGAGTAAAAACAGTTCTGCCTTCCAAAATTCTCAAGCATCATTTAGAGGCAGCTAAACTTCACAACACCTTCTATTGTCATTACATGACAACGCCATATCACAAAAGCAAATAATTGCAAACAAGAATTATATTGTAAAAGTTATATTATAAAAAGTTATAAAATGTGGCAAACTAAGAATATCCCTTTGTAAATAAGAACAGCTTAACCCACTGACAAAAGGGCATCAACCTAATCTCTGGATCACTCCAGTTTTTATTAAGGGATTTACATGAGACATAATCACTTTGTTTTCTATCTGAGCTAAATTCAGTACTCTAAGGGTTGTGTGCTGTGGGTGAGTAGGGAGTAGAAAATGAGTTGGGGGCTTATTCCCCACAAACGAGCTCCCACTGAAAGTAATTAGAAAAACACGCTAGATATTTTAGCTGTTGCTTAGCTATGTACTTGGAATATTAGATTCATTTCAGTATAACATGGAAGGAGATACCAAGGGCAGAGTTGCTTTAGGGAAAACAATTTTCAGTGAATTCTATAGAGAAGGATTCAAGCCAACACGACTGTTCCTATTGTTTAAGGATTTCATCTGCATGTAATTAAGAAAATTAAACACTGACTTGGACCCTAATTGGTGGTAGCATATGAAAATAAAACGACATTTTAAATTTTATCTTGAAGATAATTCTTTGCTTTTACTTCTTTCAGCTGTATGGTTCCCTTTAATTTGCTGTCTTTGGCTCTACTATTAGGGTAAGATCTGGTGAATGAAATATGGTTATACTCAGAACTATCATTATGTTTACTATCCACAGGTAGTCCTGGATTGAGAGGGTAATTATTATTTACAGTTTATGGATAAAGGTTGGGAGCTGAACCTGGTAGGAAAGAAGAAGGGTAGATAGGCAAAGACACATACCAGTGTTTTGCCAAAAATGGAATGCAAGTCGAGCTCCAGTCATCTGTTTGTAACCATGTTCTTGTTTACAATGAAGTCTCTGCAAAGTGAGATCTAAAGACAGAAGTGACTGCCACTTGTCAGTTCCATCTGTGCTTGTGTCATGCTAATACAACTCTTTTGTATTTTTAGGTTGTTGGATTCTTACTTAAAATGGAAGTTGACATTAATGGAGAGGCCAGATCTATGCTAGCTCCCCTCCCCTTGCCTATCGCTGACGTGAGTGCTACAAGCAAAACAGACAACGAGAAACCTCGCTGCTCCAGCACCCCATGCTCACCAATGCGCCAGACTGTTTCAGGTTACCAAATCCTCCACATGGATTCTAATTACTTGGTTGGCTTCACTACTGGAGAGGAGCTCCTGAAATTAGCTCAGAAGTGCACTGTAGAAGAACAGAATAAAGTTGAAATGATAGGGCCTACTTTGCGCTCCAAACAGCTTGATTCAGGACTTTCTCGTTCTTCCCGAGTGTGCAAAGCCAGAAGCAGATATTACCAGCCTTATGAGATCCCAGCGATCAATGGCCGTAGAAGGCGACGGATGCCCAGCTCAGGGGATAAATGCAGCAAGCCACTACCTTATGAACCATACAAGGCATTTCATGGTCCTTTGCCTCTCTGCCTTTTCAAAGGTAAAAGAGCTCACTCAAAATCCCTAGACTACCTCAATTTAGACAGAATGAACATCAAGGAACCGGCTGATACAGAAGTGCTTCAGTATCAGCTCCAGCACCTCACCCTGAGAGGGGACCGTATGTTTGCTAGGAACAACACATGAACATAAACCATCCTTTGTTCTTCACTGCATCAAGATTGTCTATACAATGTAGGCAGTCATGCACTTGGTACCTGGTTGGATCAGAAAAGTGTTTTGTTAGACCATAGCATAGGAAGATGAGGTGTATGTTTGTGTGTATGTTTGTGCATGTGTGTGCGTGTGCAGATGTGTGTGTGGAAACCACAGAAAGAGGAAGTACTGAAAAGTTCTAACAAGAAATTTCTTTGGAATAGTGTAACAAAACAAAATGTTTTGCACATGGATACCTGATATGACAATTTTAACACTCAAAAATTGATGTAATGTGAATTATGTTTCTGACTGAGCTTGCTGTAAGAATTTACTCATGGATCAGCACTGAAATATATTATTTAATATTAATCATACGTGCATATGCAATGAGTTTTGCATTATAAGACAAAATGTTTCACTAAAACCATGTGTTCTTTAAAATAATCCAGTTTGTACTCACTGTATCTGGATTTGCACTGGCAACAAAAGAAAAAAATGCTAATGAAATTAAGCCTCAGTACTTACATTACTAGAGCTGACTGTTTTTAAATGTATAATTGAATTACTACTTGGATTTCAAACTAATTTCAGTGTGATTTTTTTTTAAAAAAAAATCCTAAAATGTGTTTTGAAGAAAAAAATATTGAAAGAAAATTACTGACTTTAATTTTGTATGTTTTTTAAATAATTATCTTAACACAGAAACCTTTATAGTGTATTGTATGTATGAATATACATATACATATATACATACACACACATATACACACACATATATATATATATACATGCACACATGCATACATGCACAAATGCTGAAAACTGCATTTGCATTTGTGATATTCAGCATTTAGATTTTACAGTAACAGTACCATGTAGGTATGATGGGAGGTTGTTATGACATTTTAGCACTGCATTGGAACATTCCAATTTATTTACAGCACTGATAATTTTAACTTTGTCTTGTTTTGTTTTTCTTGAAAAGCCTTTCAGGCTACAGCTAAATTATTAATTTCTCCAAATGTACTGGTGTAAATCATCTCCAAACAAATCCTATTTTACATTTTAATATTTATTATTATTGTTACTCTCTTTTAAGATATGCTGCTTATTATTGAAAGAGTGTGCAATCATGTTATGTTCTTGATCTGTAAGTTATTTAGAAGTGAAAGCTTAATTCTTGTGGATACAGTAAGGAATGCTTAAATTGTTTATGAAACCGAGCCTTTTTAAAACCATTCCTTGCACAGATTTGATTTACTTGGAAAAGACTTGTCTCTTAAGAAAGAATACAGAGAGCATATGCTTTGAAAGCATAAGGGTTGTCTTTTCTTTGATATCTTGTACAAAAATTGTGCTCAACTGGCAGTGCATCAACTATGGATCAGGTTTGTTTCACTTGAGAAGATGCTTGAAATTTTTACAAGTTGCACTGCTGTATTATAGTGAAAAATGATTCCCTACGTAACTACTTTGCATGGCCTTCTAATGTAAACAGAAGAGTACTGTCCAATGCCAAAGAAAGGATTTTTACATTTATTGATTAAACATAAATAATAAATATTAATTAATTTTATCTATGAAGCAACATTGACTAGAAAATAAAAGGGTGATATCCGTACTTTTCTATGGCCCTTGGTATATGTTGCTCTTTTAAAACCAGGAAAGGAAATCTGCCTGATTATATCATTTTACATTCTTTTCTAAAAAAAATGTATGTGTATTATAAATGTTACATTGATTTCATATATTTTCATATATATTGTAGACCCTGACACACGAAAGGAATTTAGTTTACATACTTCAGAAACTATGACATGGAATCTACTACACATTGAATATACAGAGGACTGCTAAAATCTAGTCATTTTCCTTGCCATTGTAACAGCAGAAACAGGTGCATTTGCCTGCAGCTCACTGTATAATGAGGTTTCTCTGTGATTTTCTTTTTATCTGAGAAAAAATTGCCCATTGGAAACAAATAGCCATGGTATATGCATGAATCTGTTCTTGTTATAGTGTGCAATGAATAACCGCATTTTGGGAGATAGTAATACATATAAGAGAAGCCTCACATTTATTGTTATAAAGTTTGCTTATAAAGTAAACAATTGGCCTCCCTTTGTGACTTTTGAACTATTTTCTTGGGGAAAAAAATTTTTTTTTTAAATTTTGATTTTAATTTCTAAAATTCTCTGCAACTCTTAAGTCAGTTCTCTGGCAAGATAATCAGCCCATTGCTGACATTCTATGGGATAAAAGTGGGAAAATACAAATTTCACATGTTTTCCCTACTATTTTTAAGAATTGTTCTAAAAGTTATATAAGCTATAGTGCATCAATTTCTTGTCTTGTACAAAAATGTTATTTCAGTGATTGAATTCATTGCTTGGAGTTTTTATTATTAATTGTTTTAAAGAGTTTCTGAGAGGGGCAACATATGCTTTTAAAGCTAAATTAATGCATTCATTTTATTAGATAACTTACATTGAATTGCATATTGAATGATGACCTACCAAGAAAGTAAAACCTGAATGGAAAATTATGATCTGAAGTCTTTGTACCAAGTAGTCATTCATTGAGTTTGGTATTTTTATATGTGGATTTTTACAGACCAATCACAAGCCATATACTAGATACATAAAACGCATGCTTTGTTACCACTTCTATGTGGGCTCCTTCTCTTCTTGATTCCCACGAAACATTAACAAACTATTGAAGTATACTAGGAATATAGATTTTTCTCCTCTATAGTAGGATTTATTTATGAAAAATGTCATTTTTTTACCTAGGTAAAAGATATTCATAGAACTGAGATGGAATGATGAGGAAATACCTCCTATCCCAATATCTGGCAAAGTTTGAAAATGCTCCATCATAGAGAGAAGCTTTTTTGATCTTCTTTATACTTTGCCAAATTAAAGGAAGAATAGAGTAGTGACCTTGATCAAATATAGTTACATTTTTGGCAAAAGCACTTTTCTCTTGTATTGAGAGGGGAGAGCAAATGCTAGAGATTTTTGAAATGTTGCTAACTTCTAAATTAGTTTAAAATTCCAAAATTGTAAGATGTTTAAAACATCAGTCCCTTGCTATTTTTTTTCTGTTTTATTAAAAGAATCTCTATCCTTCCCCAATCAGACCTGGCAGTGAATAACAGGAAAATATTTAAAAACAAATCCATTTAAAAAATCATGTTAATGCTCACGTGATGATAGTTCTCATATATAGGCAAATGAACTAATTCAAACTTTCCATAGCATATCTAGCTCAGTTTGGGGTATCAATATTTATTTTATTTGTATCCCAGTTTTCCTCCAGCACTCATGGGGCACATATACAACATTCCCTTCTCTTAATTTATTTTACAACATTGTAATAGGTCCATTATTCTTGCAAGAGTCTAATTTATCTATGATCTGTAATTTGACACATGATTTGATCAAGGCAAAGGTCTAGTGTTAATGTCCTCTGTCAATATCACCTGTTCCAATGTGAAGATCAAATATATTATCCTGTATTTTGGATCTGCAGTTTCTTGTGACAAGCCTGTAGTCTACATGGATTTATAAGCTACATCAGATTCCTCTTCCAGGACATGGAGAATGAAATTACTCAAGAAAAAGTCTTAGGAACTCCAGCACCAGTACTGTGATGAGATCCAGAAGTTTGTAACACCAGCAATGGCCCTAGTTTGTCAGCGTGACTCAACTCCATATACAGTATATATGCACTTGCATCTGGTTCTGTTTGAGACAGTTCTCCCTGATTCTCAAGAGTCACATGAATGATCACAGCGCGCTCACACAAAAAGGACAGGTCTCCAATTAGGATGCTGTACTCTCCATCCTGAAGTTTTTGACACTTTGCTCCTCCCCCTAGGCCCTATGAATGTATGAGATCTAGTCATTTGTCTCGCTATGTCAGATGAAGTTTTGTTGTAGAGAAACCTGACATTTACCAACAGTTGAAGATGAGCACTTTTCAACTTGCTAATCTAGCTCTAAGAATGGGACCATTGGCTTAGAAGTAACCTAATGTATGAATTCCCTTCCCCAACAATACACTCTACTCTCTGCCATATTTCCATTTTCTTATTGAGCCTCTGCTGTTTAATCTCCAGAGTCCCTGTCCCCCTCTAATAGTTCAATTTCATGACCACTCTTCAAATTTCCATCACTTACATCTTATGTCCGTCAACTTTGGGGAGAACTTTAAAACATTTGTAAAATCCCTGCATCTTAATCCTGTTCTTTTGCCTGGAAAGGGATGGGAAGCTGACTTCAGTTTTCCCTAACTCTTACCTGGAGAACATACTCTTGTATTTAAATCCAGGTCATCTGATAGTTGTTAAAATAAACCTTCAGAAGCTTCCCAGACAGTTTAATTGCAGCTGTAGTTATGCACCATGGCAGCAGTTCTCTTCAGTTTTGACACCTGCAGACACAAAATCTTTCATCCCATCAGTGAAATTTTTCTGAGCCTGAGAAGGGTTCTCTTGGTGCCCAAGATTCCTTTGTTTGTTTACCATTCCTACTCCAGATGTCCTTCTGGCTACCACTTTGTAGATAATAGTGGTAATAGTTTGTGTTCCTCAACTTCCACCCACTCTTCCTGTCAGCAGTGCCAACCACTTTACTCACCTCTGATAAACCTGCTGAGAGCAGAAGAACCCAAGGCAGATTCATAGTCAAGTCCCAAAGCAATGCTGGTAGCTCCATTTCAAATGTTCACTTTATGTCCATTCCTCCTTCTTCTTCATTCACCAACCACCAGACTCCATTATGTCGTTCTCCACCAAACCTTGTCTGAAATCCTCTGCTTTTCTATTCTTCATATTATTTTTCTCC